ATGATCTTTAACGATTTTTATTTTATTTAAATGCTCACCAGTCACTCAAGTAAATGCTGGAAATGCTGATCCTGGGTCTCCATGCAATAATAGGCTCAAAATCACCAAGGTGGTAAATTTCCTATGGCAGCAAATAAATTACTAAAATCATAATTTTATTGAGAAAAGAACATAATGGAACATTAAAATTGATTTCTTTAACATAGTACAATACACTTTAGAAGTAAATTATGTTCTATATTAGTTGAAAATATATATACAGAAAGTAATTTCGAGAACGGTGTTGCCTAAACGCATCACCGGTCAAATTTTAGTTCAGTCCAGAAATAAATTTTTAAGACTTGCATACACTTTATTTAGCTATCCTTATTTATCATTGGAACTAAAATATTTCCTGTACGTTAATGACCGACGGAAAGTGGGAGATACTAAGATAGACAAATTTTATAACTCCGCCCACGTCTTAGGTGTACGTGTGTACATACATTTCTGGAACAAATAGCTAAAATATATAATAGACAAGAAAAAAGGTTGTTCAAGTATCACAACCAAATGTTGTGGCTAAGTATTGCTACGTTTGAAAAGTACCTCCCGGAGCGGAGTAGAGCTATTAGATTTTTTAGCCATGTGATCCTCGAGCAAATCGAGCTTATGTGGAATAAAAGAACAGCTATGGATTTGTTTCTTTAAGATAACAAACTTAAACCTTTCTTTTAAATCAAACTTAATCTCTCGTCTCGTGGTTTTTGTTGCAAATTGCAAAGTAAAGTTAATTTTTAGCTGTTGTATTTTTCGCTTTTTGCTTTCACTAGAAAATAAACCATGTTCTCATTTCTGTCTGACATTTTTTATAAATAATTATTTTAATAACCAAACACATAACCAAAAAGAATAAACTGCAACACAAGAGACAACGAACGATGTCTGTACATCTCAGAAAAGTACATCTACTTGGTCAATTGTAACAGAAATTACATTTACTCCGAAAGCTCTAAAATTTAATTCGGAGTAAATAGATCTTACTCGATTTTCCAGTTTTGCTTTAAAAAACCACGGAGCAGATCCCATCGAGAAGCCACAGATGTATTAAAAGAACGGCTTCGAGTAAAAAGAGCAAAACGAGGTAGTTTTCAAACGCAGCATATAATATATACAAGGGTGGTGTTGACCTTCACGATAATGGAGTAGACCAGCGTTTCTCAAACTTTTTTTGGCGACGGAACCCTTCTGAAAAGCGAAATATTTGACGAAACCCTAAAATAAAAAAGATTTTTTAAACTTTATATTGGTTTAGGTTTTATTTTACTTTGCAACTACGGGGAATTCCTAAAAAAAAAGTCCTCAACCTAAATAGGATCCTGTCTTAGTGAATTCTAAAAAAAGGGTCCTCAAACCAGGTCCTCCCCTTTGTGGCGAACTTCCTCTTAGTACTCCTTTATTAGTTTTTTTATTATGACTATTATTTTCGCGGAGCCCCACAGATGCTCTGCGGAGCACACTTTGAGAGTAGACAATATTAAAGGAAAAATGGTGGTGGTCTTATTCAGAAACACAATCCATAACATTATACTGAATTCATGGACATTTTATAATATTACACCCGATAAAAAAATGTCGCAGCTAGAATTTAGATCATACATTGTTTTGTGTTTACTGAAAGTAGAAATATCGCAAAAAAATTTTAGCAAATTCGTTAAATAAACTACCAAGTGAAATCCCACGAAATAAACACCGTAGCCACACTCCACAGCAGACGGAAATACGAAGATGTCGAATTTTTCATAGCCAGACAATTTATACATTCGGAAAATATAAAGTCTATCTTCAGGTTGGCTGCTTCCAAATGTATCATAAGTAGTTCATAGCATTGACCGGTGATGCGTTTACGCAACACCCTGTTTTTTTGTATATACATTTTTTTGTTAATTTTTTATTCTAATGAAGGTATTTTGATAATAGTTTTATAAACATTTTATTTTTTTATTTCTTTCATGGGTTGGTTGTTAATGGGTTAACAGGAGCAGAATTTACAGCTCCTTCCAATTTCAACTGTGACTCCATTTCATGGCTCTTTATTTCATCTTCTGTGGCCTGGTCTACGTGTTCCATTTCTTGTTTCTTTTTTTTTTTTTCATTTCTTTTATTTTCTCCTCGACGGATTTTCCACATTAGCAGAAATTGCATTTCTCATAGAAGAGATATCAGAGGAGACTTTAATTTCTATAGAAGATATTTTGGAAAATACCTTTTCTTCCAAGGAAGAAATATTAGATGAACATTTATTTTCAATAGAAGACATTTTACTTTCCAAATCGGAAAATTTCTGTTTTTAAAGAAGATATATCAGAAGACACTTTAGTTTCTAAGGAAGAAATGGCAGAAGAAATGTCGGTTTTTAAAGAAGACATCATTTTTCATATCGGAAATTGAAGAAATTATAGAAGACGCATCACCCGAAAATAGATACATTTCCGGATCCAAACTTTCATTTTCTAGTGCCAGCTCTGATCCCTGTCGTCTCAAGTTCACGTTCTTCTAATTCTCGACGCAATTCAGCCACTTTAAAATCACTCATTTTTTTTGCCATTTTTGTCCACAATTTATTTACAGTTCCACTTCTAACACCAATGCAACGTTTATTTAATTTATTTATAGTTTATTTATTTAAAACACTTTATTTACAATTTATTTATAACATACTAATTAATTTATATAATACTTAGGCACTCTTATAACTTATAATTCTAATTTATTTATTACAATTCTATCTTTTCGCTCCAACACTTAAATTGAATCTTCTTTTCTATCGACAAAATCGCGGCTATTTATATAAAAATGTAATGCTCTCAAAAGAACCAATTCTGATTAGAAGTTCAGTTTGGAAGTTCTAGAAATTATCTTACACGCGTAAGACTGCGATGGAAAACATTCGAATCGGTTTCTCGAGTTTCGAGATGGGTCTCGATGTGGCCAGCGCTCGACTTCCTGTCGCGGGTATGGTAATAAACAAAGTACAGGGTTGTCTTCGCGTCACAGTACGTAAATACGATTACCAGAAAAAACTGCTGTAGTGTCGATATTGTACATATTGATGAATCGTTTTTGATATGCAATTATTGGCGGTTGATATTATTTGAGTTAACTTTGTTAACATAAGTATCAATTATGTGGTCGTCAGAAGTTATTGGTTGATTAATTTTATTATTGTCTATGTTCGAATCTATCTCTGATGTCTTTTTATTCATAGATTTAACGCGAGTATTTGAGATTGCAGAAATCGGTTGGGTAGGCCTTTTTGGACCTTTAATTGTCTCATGTTCATGAGATCCGCATTGCAGCACATGTTGTTGGTTGTGGATAATCACAAGCACTTGTTGAATGGTTTCCTTCGCAATTTCGACATTTAATGGGAGTGTTACAGTTTTCCGTTGTATGTGTGAAAAGAGTATATTTGGAGCAAGGTATTGATATTAGAGTTGAAGGACTGCTAGGATACACCGGGTAGTGTTGATGTTTATAGTAGACACCCTCATTTTATTGTTTTTTTTTTCAAATTAGGTTAGGTCTGCAGTTATTACTCTAATGAGTTGGATTTGTTTACCTGTTGCTCTTGAAGTGATTCTCTTGAAATAACGGTGGCATAATATGTTGTCGTGTTCACTTATTTTTGTTTCATTTATGTCAGTTTCCACAGATGCTCTTACTCAGGCATATGTCAGCTGATTTGGTGTATGAGTGGATGGTTCTGTGTTAATATAAGATTTGTCTGTAGTTTTGTATTACTCTATCAGCTGTTAAATAATCCAAGGTTTTTTGTGACTTTTTATCTAAATTGGATTTTATTATGAAACTTTCAGTGGTTTTGAAGATAACTTCTGTTGAATTTTTGTTATGTATACTCCTCAAGTCTGATAATTGTGTTCTAGTTATTTGATCTACTGTTATATAAAAGATGTATTTAAAGTGTTCATTTTGTTCATTCTTGCAGAATAATTTTTGGGTAAATTATTGTTGATATTGATTTATTTTGGAGGAATTGATAATTGGTTTGTTTATGGCAGGTTTTTGTTGAATACATTATTGTTATCCCTTGTTGTTTTTTGTGATGTGGATAAAAAAGCATTTGAATTAGTCTGCGAGCTTGTTCCTACAATTTCATTTATTTCTTGTTGTGACAGCGTGTTGTACCTTTCTTGTGGGTTCTTTCCAGATTTATTTTTGATTTTCGTTTGTGTCCGATTTTTTTTCTACACACCATTGTCTTCAATTTCCATTTCGCTATAACTTCCTTCGCTTTCAGAACTCATTTTGAAAAATCACTAAGCGCCTGTACTATTTTTATACTAAAGGTAAAATACGTTTTCACTCTTCCACTGCTAGTTTAATACTGTAGTTAACTTATTTTACCTAAAAAACTCTTCACCATCAATACGATTTCAATAATGTAACTGATTTGCCTGTGGAACGGTTACACATTAGTTCAATAAATTTGAATATCACATGTATATTTTTTTTTTGTATTTTCTTAGTTCTAAATGTTCTTATTGTTAAATCTGTTTTTATCGGCTAAAATTTGTACACCTAATTCCCTTTTACTTTCCAATTCCCGCATTATCTTTAATATTATCTCCCACTTCCTTAATTTCTTTTAAACCTCTCAATTTTTCACGATACTTATCCTTGTAAATTTCTCGCGATACCTACCTGTGTAAATTTCTCGTGATTGCCTACCCGTGTGCACCCCTATTTCTTATTCTTAACACTCTATTTTAGAAAATGTTACTTATTACACTTTATTTAGTGAAAATTGTTATCTGGATTTTAGTTGTTGACCAGTAAAAAATAATTGAATTATGATAGTATATTTTTATGTTACATGACTCTTTCTATGAGGGAGTCGAAACAATTATCACCTATTATTTATTGTGGTAGTTGCAGTTTGTAAATAGACATAAGATATTACTATTAATACCTTTTATGAGTAATTTTTTTCTTTATAGTCGATCACGCAACACGCTTTTGAATGGCGATACAAAGCGATATGATTGGGATTCTGGATATACATGCCATCAATTGGGTTCCGGAGCTATTCTAATTCAATTAGGTAATTTTTTTTTAATTCAAGTACTTTTAAATTTATTTAGCTATAACTGTTTGGAATTATTGTAGGTCAACCTTATATAATCTCAAGTTTAAGACTTCTTCTCTGGGATTGTGATGATAGGAGTTATAGTTACTACATCGAATCATCTATAAACGTTTGGGAATGGGAGATGGTCGTTGATAATACAAGGGAGAACTGTAAATCTTGGCAAGTCATTCGCTTTCCTCCTAGACCTGTAGTCTTCATAAGAATTGTTGGTACACATAATACAGCAAACGAGGTAAAAATATACATATCTCTAAAAAAACTTATGTTAAAAAAATATATCGATAGTCTCAAATCAATACCTCGTAGTAAGTCCGAAATTTCGAATTTTTACTCTTTCCCATCTATACAAATTAATTTAGAACAAAATTTTAAAAATGAAGACAACCACATTCATAGGTTATTCATATATTTATTTACTTGTCAACATTATTTATCAAATAATTAATTGGCTTTATTAAGAAATCCTCCTCTAAAATGTTTAATGTGGACATACGAGATATTGATTTGAGACCGTCGATATATAGAAACATTACAAGGGTAAATAAAATTCAATTCAAAAGGTCTGCTTACTATCATTTTCATATTGTTGATTACAATATAATTTTAGGTTTTCCACTGTGTTCATTTTGAATGCCCATCAATGGAAGATGTTGGAACACCAGCAAGTCCAAAACAGAAAAGGCTTAAAGAAAATGTAGAGCAAGAGGGTCAAGTGCAACCAACAGAAACTGCCACTGAAGCTGAGGAGATTCCGACTGAAATCGATAATTCAATGCAATAAAATTACAATAACCACTGTATAAAGTTTTACATTGTAGGCTGTTGTTGCCTTTGTCCAAGTTACTTTGAAAGTGTTTCCTACTGTGGTATTGGTTTAAATTGTTTTATTAGTTTCCATATACTGCAGATTAGAAATAACCTGTGATTTCCTTTGTGGGTCCCTTGTGAGTATTCCAGGATTGCCCCAGAGTTAGATTTAACCTTTAACTGATATTTATTGTTAATTGGCACATTTTTTAATAAAGACATTTTATTTTGTTTCCTTGTTTTTTTACTTACCTATTTTTTTCATAAATACCATTAGATAAAAGTATAGAGGCGTCATAGATGACGAAAGTCGCAAACACTTGTTAAACTCATGATACACAAATACCGGTATTCCTGCGCATGTTAGCTCTATCCTGGTCACATGATATGACCTTACGTGGCATAAAAATCCGACGCGTTTACCTAGATAAATACAAGTAACGAGACGTTTTCGAAAATAAAAACTAATATTACTTTATTGTTAAAAGTTGTGGTTTTTACGAAGTGAGAGTAGAAAAGTTATTATATAAATATTGTACAAATTTTATGAAAATTTAGTTAATTTATTATTGCAACTAAAACAAGAATAAGATATGTGATAAAGTACAATGAGCAGACACCTTTATTTTAAAGAAATGTATCTTACATAAGTTCATAACAATAATGCACAATTTGAACGAACAAGATTCGAGTAAAACCACTGCACAGGGTGTCTGATTAAGGGCCATATCTCAGAATATTTTTGAGACTTTTTTTGAAAAGCAAATACTGATGTCATGATCCAATTACCAGTTTTTGGGAGTCTTCAGGAGAAGGCTACATGTAGATAAGCTCTTGTTCAGAAATGCTAGCTGCTTTAACTGCTTTTAAAATTCCAATTGCTTCATCTTCTTTTAGCTGATCGCAGATTACGTTCTTCACATTGCCTTTTCCGGAATACATAGTGTGGGCACAGCACCAGGTTTCAAATATCTGCTATTTATGGGCATGTATCCCAACAATCTCTGCTGCAGAGGCACTTCAAAACAAGAGACTTCGAAGTGTACAGAGCAAATACGAGCTGCAAAAAAAACATCTAGTCATAATATATGTACAAGAAATTTATGTTTATGCAACCGAATCAGCATTTTACATGACCATTGACACTAAATATTAATAAATTGAATCAAATTTTTCATTATTCAAATAAAACCTACACTATTTCTTAAGTTTATTGTACCTTCTCGGCGACATTTATTTTTCTTTGTGCTAGAATCCACTGATAGTCATTCTTTGGATATCGAAAATATTTTATGTCCGTTCCCTTCGTAATTTTGCTAGAATTTTTACAAGTAGCCACAGCACGATTAGACATTTTATAGTTTTTTTTTGTCATAAAATTGCTGAAGAAATCACCATACTTTAATTTAAACCCTTTAAAAACATCAAAAAATGGGAAAGAAAATCAACACTTTAAACTCTTCAAGCAAAATACTTTTAAACTCTTATTTAAAATTCCAAAAATGAACGCGTATCATTATAATTAGAAATAAAATTATTAAAAAATAATTCTTATTCAAACGTCAATCAAATACTGTTTGCTTTATGTCACGTTACGTCACGCGCGAAAAATAAACTTTCAAATTGAAAATAGCTTTTTAAAAAATTTAATTATTTTTTCTAAGTTAAAATTCTACAACTACGATCTGTACTACAAGAAATATAAATGTATAATGATGTTAAAAATGAGAAAACTAGATAAAATGCATAAAGTCCTAATCAGCGGTTTCCTAGAAACTGGTAACTCTGATAACGCCGACATCTGCAGGATCTGTTACTAGGGCTGATGTAATTCGCGGAAAGTGCGAAATTCGGTCAAATTATCCCAGACAGCACACCAAATCCTTTGGATATCTACTGAACATCCCAATATCCACTGAATATCCAGTCCATGGTGGATATCTATTTTATATCCATGAGCTGTAATTTACAGACATGCAAATGTCCATAAATAATAGTAATTATATAGCAAATTATTAAAAAATTACGCCATTGTGCTCGCCATTGTGGCTAATAGTACCGTTCAGATATTTAAAATTAATTCTTTTAAGGTGTATTCAATATCCCATGGACATCCACATATATCAAAGTCTTAGCGCGGACGCAAACCATCGTGGATATCTACTAGATGTAATTTTTGATTTTGCTTCCTAAGTATAGATGGCGATACCACTTTCGTATCTACTCATACTCAACCCGCCATAATTGAGTTGATCGAACATTGTTTCCCATTAAGACTCTATTAGAAACTGGAGTCGAGAATTTCCATTTATTGCTGAAGAGTCCAAATAAGGATGACTTTTTCCTTAGTGAGCAAACTCAAAGGCAAATTGTTGGAAATATTTTTTATCTCTATTTTCTTTCGACGTTCGACGTTATCATTCATTTGGTTGGTTACTTATGAATGTCTACTAAAGATACCTATAAAATATTTTGCTGAATATCTGAATTCTATATCCTGGGATATAGACGGACATTTGGTTGGATATCCATATTTGGATATCCACAAAATATATTCTGTGGATATCTCTGGGATTTCTTGTATTGTCTGGAAGATACTAATTAGATATTTTACTGAATATCCATAGGATATCTTCTATATTCTGGATATAGACGGACATTTGGATATCCATATTAGATCCACGGAATATTTCTGATATCCTGTGGATATATTGGATATCCACAAAAGATATTCTGTGGATATCTTTGGGATTTGGTGTGTTGTCTGGGTAGTAGCATACCGATATTTGTGTATCGCGTGTTTACGCCGGGATTGATAAATCGTAGACGTTTGTAAATGTCATTTAAAAGAGGTTAGCGGCAATATTTTAGCTATATTCGAGCGGACGACTGGTTTAAATATATTTCATACTATTTGAAAAACGGTTTGAACTATTCCCATTCGAGTGACCAAACAATGACGTCACGTTAAATTAAGTTTAAACCAGCTGCATCTGTTTTTGAAACGTTTCATTAAGAACGGTTCGAGGAAATAGAAATGTCATTAAAATAAACATCATAAAATTCGTGATTAAAAAAGACTATTTATATTATGGTCATAAGAAAAAATAATCAGATTCTAAATATAACGATCCTATGAAGACTAGAGGTAAGGAGGCGAATCGGCATGCTCAAAATACGGTCCCAAAAATCACACGTCAATTGAGCTTTTATAATTAACCGCATGGGCGCTGGTACGGTTTACGTAGTTCAAAATACATGGCTGTTTATGGGAATTATACATAATTTTGTCAAAATAATAAAAATAAACTTGTTTACATCTAAATAAAGCACAGAACATACTGTTGTATTTATTTCTAAATAAGTCTTGCATGTTTTAATTGATAAATTATTTAATTTTATCTATATAAAATACAATTTTGGTATGTGTATGACCAAATTCGAAAAGGTTTTTAAATTGCTGAAATTTGATAAGTACAATTTTGTGGCAAATTTTTTTTTTGAATTGAACCAATATATAGTTTTAAGAGTAAAATAAAACACAGTTAACAGATTTTTTATTGTTGTAATACAAGTATAAAGGGAGATTTGGGAATGTACATGGTATTACCTCATCCTTTAATTTCAGCTGTCCCCTTTTTATTATATATATAAATCGTTTATTTAGTCAAAATAACTAATTTACATAGCAATACTATTCCCATTTGAAATAAAATAAATAAGTATACAGATTCGGAAACTGAATCGAGGACCATATAAACCAGCCATACTCAACCTGCCGCATGCGGCCCTTTAATCTTTTTTTGTGGCCCACAACACTATTATTGGTCGCACGCTAATTTTTAAATAAACGTTTGGAATTTTCTGGGGTTACTGCAAAAACAAGATAGTTCCACTTTTGGAATTTTCGAGTTAAGTAGGTACCCTTTCTACAAGTGTGAAAGAAGTCTATATTCATGATAAACAGATGGCCAATAAAAAGTTAATACATTAACAATATGGACAAATAAGATGGAGAAAAACATTGTGTTCAATTGATAAATGTGTCTACCGCAAAACCAGATATTAGGCATATAACTTATTTTTGCTAAATATATTTAGTCCGATTCTTAATAGTGTTTCTGCCAAAATAAGATAAAGGCCAGAACCGAGAGAAAACCAATAAGGTCAAAACGTACCTGTATTTCGGAAATCACATAATTTTTTTTATGTAATTTAGGAGATTTTACTGAAAATTTACCTTAATTTTATACGATGATCTTTTTTTCTCGCCATTTCCGGTTGTGAGCGACGAATTGATTTCGACCATGATATTTAGATGATGATTTTGGAATTTTCGAAAAAATGTGTAGTGATTTCTAGTGAAAACGTACCAGTATTTCGGGAGAGGTTGCCGCTACTTACTCTTGTTGAATGTGTTTGTTGAAATAATACAACATTGTGCCCACGCCATTTGTTTTGTTATGACTAGATCCGTCTCTGGCCTTTTTCGATTGTTCCGAAATCCACGAGATGATTACGTCTCCCTTTCTTTCCGCGATACAGCTATCCTTAAACAACCACTAGATAATAACAGGCGATGTTCGAATCTCCGTGGTGAACGAGTGATTGGTCAAGACGTAACGGGTGATTGGTCAAGCTGTAACGAGTGATTCGTCAAGCCGTAACGAGCGAATCTTTTTACGAAAATTCGTAAATATAAGTATTAGTGTAACAGGCGAATATAAATTTTAACCATACTTTCTAATAGACAACGAATCGAAAGATTCAGCTATCCTAAATACATTCCATCAGAAAAATAGATTTATCAATGGGCGAGGGTGGGGATTTCGGCTTTATATGCCAAACTCGCACAGTATTTATTCGGAAGGATGCATGAAAGGATAAAACAAAGTTTTGAAAATACTTACAAAAAAGTGCAAGAAGAAAGGTTTACTAAAAGTTTGCAAAATCAGATACACCTGATGAATTTCACCATTATTTTCACAATCTACCTGTATCCAATAATGTTACTGAAACTCGACTGAAGATAGTGACACATACATTGAATTATAATTTGTATGTAGAGCTAAAATAAGCTAAGTGACGTTTTCTCTCTTTTTTAACCAATTATTGATAGATTAGATTATTAGTTTATACTTTGTGAACAATGTTTTCAATACCTTCTTCAGTGAAGTTAATAAACGGTTTAAAGCTTTTACTGATTTTTTATTCAGTTTTAAACGTCTGAGTA